ATTCATATAAATTAAAGATAATGCCAATCAACTTCTATTTTGATAGTCGGCAGTAAATTCTTTTGTAATACCCTTAACATCATTTAAATCAGGACACTTTTCAATACCTTTGACCAAAAGCCATGCATTTTTCTCATTTAAGACAAACTTCATATCTTTGGACCATGTAAAGTAATTACATGCATCAAGTTTAGCAATATTATGCATGACACTAACAGTAGCCATATTTGAATTTTAACAAAAACCATCCCCAATCTCTTAAGTCCTAAATTAACTTTAAACTTCAAAAGTCTGCACTAAAAAATAACTCAGAGGCTGGGCCCATAACCAAAATGATGCTAAAGCAAAGTTTAAAGTTTATAAAATTAAGCATTTAGCAGTAGTAGCAATAAAAGCTCCCTGAGATACTATGTTGTGCAGATATTGAAGACAATAAAAAGTTTCGAACTTAACCAATTTATTAACAATATAATAAAGAATAAAAACACAGAAAATAAATTAAAACAATATCAGAGTCTTAGGAAAATATAATATAACCATCATTCATCAAATAATATTTTTACCTGGTTTTCAAAAACACTGGCATTCAATACAAACAAAATGTCCTAAACAGTAATTATGCGGCCTAAAAATGAAGTTGGCTACACCTTCAAAAAGTCCATGATCAATGGTTGAGAAAACACCTGAAATTTAAATCAAGTTCTTGAAAGCACTTAAAACCGGACTAATTCCTTTTGCTTTAGTTGAACATGAAGAATCGCCGCTCACGTATTTTAAATGCCGCCTTCATTAAAGAACACAGATGCCGCCCACGGCAGTCACTCACATGGTAGCCTCTGGAACCAAGGAATTTATTCTGGAACAATCACCTTGTGGATATGAACCAAGGAACTTTATTCAGGAACAGTCATCTTGTGAACAGGAACCAAGGAACTTTATTCAACGGACTGCATTCATCCTTCTGAAGGGGCTAGAAACCGCACACCCAAGTGCCAGGAAAGCAGGAACTAGAAGGAGGGTTGAGCCAGAGCGACGCGAGATACTTATAGCAGAGGTAGGCATGACGTCATCTCACGGCAACCAATCAGCTATCGGCACGAATCGGCTTTCCAGATGACGTAACATCACGTTTCGTTTTTGCATCTCAATTAGGTCCGTTCTCAATGCAAACAGTGGCAGCAAGAAAAAGAAGTAGAAGTAACTAATATATTACATTAAAAATAAGAACTAAGCCTAACAAACATTTCAAGGAGGAGAGATGATGCAGTAAAAAGGTTTACAATAAGTTATCTTTTCCAACAGCCTTTATTCGAAAGTTGGACAGCGCATTCCCTGGGATCGAAAGTTGGACCGATCTATCAGTGTCAGCGGTTTTGCATATACTGCATACACGATACACATGCCTAAAATCACGAAACCACCCATGCAGCCGGACCTTTCGCGGGTATTCGAAAGTTAGACCGAAATACCTGTGTTCAGCAGGCTGCGGCCGCTTTATTCACCTATGTATCCAGAAAATAGTGCATACACTATACACATGTGGAAAATCATGAAAACACCCACGCAGTAAGCCTGCTCACCGGGATTTGAAATTTGGTCCGAACTACCAGTGTTCAGCGGCTTTGCGCGGGCTGCGCTCGCATTATTAACATATGCATCCAGAAGATACTGCATACACGTTACACATCATGCGTAAAATCACGAAAACACACATGCAGGTAGCCCGCTCGCCGAGACACGAAAGTTGGTCCGAACTACCAGTGTTTAGCGGTTTGCGCGGGCTACGCCCACTTTATTTACGTATGCATCCACAATATACTGCATACACATTACACATACGGAAAATTACCAAAACACCTATGGAGCCAACCCGTTCGCCGGGATTTGAAATTTGGACTGAACTACCAGTGCTCAGCGATTTTACTGCTCAGGCTTTTAGCCAAGTGTAAGCGCAAAAATTTTCGGGTATAAATATTCAAACAGTAGATTCGTTATTAAAATTCCTTTTGATAAACTTCAGCATAATCACACACAAAAGTGCATCAATATATATATTAATGTAATTAATCAATCATAATTATTTATAATGAGAAAACTTTCCATATACGATGTCCAAGCAACAGAAATTCAATTTAAAACCCTGAACGAAAAAAAATTTAGTCAGAATTTAAATAAATAGTTTATTTATTTTTAATTATTTTATCTTTTTTGCAATTAAATTTCTTAATTAAAATTAAATTTAATATTAGCTTTATGCGAACAGAAACATTTGTTACCAAAAATACAACAATATATATATTAATGCACTTATACATAATAACAAAAGCAGTGAATGATTACGTAGCTCAGATTTAAGGTATTAGATATATTAATTCGTATTACTCAAAGTTGCTTTTCTTATTCAGATCCAAAAATCACGAATTGTTCGAAAAATGCACAAAAAATACGTATCTCGGCAGCCAACAGTCCCATCGACTCGAAATTTACGATCTTATAATTGCCAGATTTTGAAAAGATGTTTGGTCTTTGTTCCAGAGAGATTTGCAAATTAGAAGATTAATTAGCATAATGAATAAAAATGCTCCACTACGTTAATTTCATCCCTGGCGAATGGCCTTGACGATTCCCACGACCAAACGAAAACCAGCTTCTCCCCTCAAAACCCGTCGCCTTCGATTCCCAACCTGTCCACAAAAATATGGGAAGGAAAGAAAAAGGGAGTATTAGGGCGTTTTTAATTACCTCGTTAATTAGGCTCCTAATTCGCAAATCAGTGTGGAATCAATGCCATCAGTCGGTTTATCCTCTCGCGGGTTTAAAATTCAAAATTTCAAAGAAATCGGCCGGTAAGTTCCCGAGTTATCAATTTTTTGTGCATTTTTATGCTCAATTTCTCTAATTAAGAAAAATTCATATCTTGGGAACCAATAATGCGATCGGCTATAAATTTAGAAATTTACAGCTCATAGATAGTCAAATGAGGGATGCTCTTTGTTCTACATGGATTGGCAAATTAGATGATTAATTAGCATAATGACTAAAAATTCTCCACTACGTTAATTTCGTCCCCCGTTAATGGCCTTGACGATTCCAACTGGACAATGGATACAGCTGCAACCCCTCAAAACCCGTTGCCTTTGAATCCCAGCCTGCCCATAAAGATATGGGAAGGAAAGAAAAAGGAATATTAGGGCATTTTTAATTACCCTGTTAATTACGCTCCTAATTCGCAAATCAGTGCGGAATCAATTCCATCAGTCGTTTCATCATCTTGTGGGTTTAAAATTCAAAATTTCAAAGAAATCGCCCGGTAAGTTCCCGAGTTACTGATTTTTTCTTCAATTTTCGGCCTAATTAGCATCTCCACTAATTAAGGTCGCACGAAGATGCCAATGGTCAAAATGGCGAGTCACGGACGTCCTGAATCCAACGGTATGCTCCACTAAGCTCTACACCCAGCCGTTCCAGAGAAGATGCAGTTACAAACAAACAAACAGACGCGCACAGATTTTAATAGTATAGAAATTATTATTTCATTTAAACTAAATTAAATATTAAAAGACGTATAAATAAAAAACAATAATTACATTTTTCATAAATAAATAAATGCATCATAAAACTAAATAAAGTAACATATCATGAAAGGTCAGTAAACTGATCGTAGTAAGACATAGTACAAGGATAAAAGAAAAAAAATATTCTGTTGCATTTCAGTTTATTTAAAACTGTCCAGTGCATTTTTATTTAACAATTTAATGAAAACTATTGTTAGAAGTACAGAAATTTTACTCTACAGTAATAAATCCATGCATTAAAAGTGCAGTAGACTCCCTCTTACCTGGCCTACACGATTTTGAAAAGTGATACAGCCTTTTAAAGTTTTCATCGCAAAACGAAAACAATATTCCTTCAGGGACAAAGCCCCTTTGGACTAAAAATATGCCTTTGCAGAAAAATAACACTTTAATCGCGTGCAAATAAATATCCATCGAAATCAGATAACATGCGTTTATAATGATGTTGAGTTCAGTTGTGTTTCCAGTTGAATGTACAGCGAGATGATAATTTTCATAGATGTCTTTCCAAACTTTTTTCACATGATCAATGTCAGTAAATATGTATGCCCATCTGTATTTAGACTTGTCCTCAGTGGGAAGTTCAACTTGATTTCAAATGACTGAACCATTATTATTTGCATTACCATATTAACCTGGACCATTATTGTTACATATTGCCATTTGTAATACTGCTCAGTTCAAACATTCTTCATAACAGGCTTTATAAAACATGCCTTAGGTTTGTGTAGAAATTTCCTGCAATTTCATACATGTCTGCAGTTCTTCCAGTTCCTTCGCTAGTAATGTAACTGATAATAGACCAAAACATTATACATGCAGTCAGAAAATGTGCATTGCTGCATTAATATGGTTAGCACCAAGTTTAAAAAGTATATTAATCTCAAAGGATATCACTACGCATTGCCACTGCTGATTTTTTTCATTACATGCAAACTCCTAAAGGAAACTTCAGACCAATAACTTATCTTACCTTTCAGCCTCCCTCTCAGTTCACAACTAATCATCTCAGTTTCTAAGAAATTAAAAAGTGAAGCACTGCCAATTCAATGAACAGGTGTATGATAGTAATGATTTCTGCAGTTTAAAATAGGGAAAACATAATAATAGTCTACAAATGAAATATTAATACTTTCCAAATGAAACCAAACATAAAAAGTATTCAGTATAAAATGCTTGTACTTGTTTTAAATATTTTTCATACACTTCCAGCTTTATTTGTTTAAATTTTTGTTTTCAGTATCATGAAAATATTATTTATTATAACGGAAAAGAAAAAATAGCAGCAGCAATAGCAAAGTTTTAAAAAATTAAACTTCCAAATAAAAACCTAGCTACCTTCTTTTCACTCGATTAAATTCGTATAAAAATGAAATCAGAAATGTTAAATTTAATGATGATAGTATAGAAATGCACAAAACTTACCTAATAACTCTTTGAAGTTTTGGCAGTTTCTTTTCAAAAATAACTTCTAAGATATCCATACAATCCAAACCTATTTCTAACTCAGAATGAGACTCCATTTGAAAAGCTCCTTCTCCAACAACCCATGCACATAACATATTCGGATGACTTGGAGTATATGCAAACCTGTTTATACTTTTCAGCCAGCAACCTGATGACACCTAAAACCAAAATTAATAAAAAATATTACAATTTCCACTTTTTCAAATAAATGGTGGGGTGAAAAAGTATTCTAACAAATAAAAACTCCCATCACAAGAAAAAAATGTGAACAACAAATATATACAGACTACAGATATGATACTATGTTTTAATATCATTTATTCCAATATTTTTATGTAAAACTATTTCATAAAAATATTGGACTGAGCTGGGCACTATTTGCAACTCCAAATTGTATCTATTTAACTTATCACTTACAGAAAATGACAAGCGAAAATGAAACTCCAAAGCATAATGATATTTAAACTAATCAAGAATACATGATAGTATCATCTATTGCTAGCTGTGTGCTTAATATTTCATACTAATAAAGACCTCTTGATATAAAGAGTTATATGTTTACATAAAGCATCACATGTTTACAAAAGCATAAAGCATACATGTTTACAAAACAAAATGCTCTGATTCAGTTCATCATAATCTCATCATCCAATTAAGCTATCTTTACTTGATTATTTCTTTTCAATAATGCACTCTGCATTAAAAATTTTAAAAAAATCCTGTTTCTTCCAGTCAATACCAACCTCAAAAAGGGTTTTCTAATGAGAAAAATATTGTTAATCTGTTATAAGCTTTGTGACTGGTTTGCGGTTTCTGTGACGACTTTCTGTATATTAAGGTTAGATCATAACCTATGGTATGAGATCAAAATAGTATATTATGTAATATATTTCAAATAACTAGTTTAAAACTCCAGCTTTTGAAGTTTATATTGTGGCGTGCGTACGGGTTCATTACGAAATAAATGCACAAGTCCGAGGAAAAATGAACAAAAATTTATTATTATCACAACAAATATGCTTAAATTTCCTAAAATATTCGTGCAGTATTACAATATCTCACAGTAGATATCTTTTAACTACTCAAATGTTCAAGAGAGCTTAATTCAAAACAGCTAAAGAAAGCTAATCTGCGAATTCACTACAGCCAACAAGAGCAGTTTTCTAAACAAACTCTTAAACCAACAACAAACTAAGTAACTACCATGAACTGAGAGGTTTTCCTTCTATTATAAGATTTTAAAATCGCGCGCAAGAATTTTCAAGTACTTTCCCGAAATTAAAAAGAGAGATTTATTGAATGTTACATGCACGCGCTCTTGTATTTTCAATTTTTCGGCTTAGCTTTCTTTTAATATTCGTCACGCGCTGCATTGCACGGGAAATAAAACCATTTAATTTACAATTCAACTAACGTAAGCTATTTAAATACCAAATCCGTAACACTGCCTCCTTCCCAAGGACTGCACGTCCAGGGCAGTACAATCCCTGGACAGGATGCCAAACTTACTACAGTGGCATAAATGCAATAATAAGCATCATTACAATCATTACAATATTAAACAACAGTAATTACAATATTAAACTCAGTCCAATCATTACAATATTAAACAACATGAACAATAAATGCAATAAATAAAACAAATCAAATGCTATCAAATACTAAATACACATTTAGAAACAAAAAGGACCACGGTCTTACACTATTTACAATTATGTACTATGGCCATAGTAATGAGCTAACCTGTAGTAATGAACGACTTTAGGCTTAGAGTTCGAAGACTTATGGATCTGAACCACGACGTCATTCAGCCTGTTTAGGACTATGTACGGACCCTCCCAAGGTGACTGTAATTTCGGACAAAGTCCTTTCTGTCAAGTCGGATTCCACAACCACACCTTGTCTCCTTCGTGGAATTGATGTTCAGTAGCTCTTGTGTCATAGCGGGTCTTCATCTTCTCCGTCGCCAAGTTGCCTCGCTGTTGTGCAAAGTTGTGCATCACTTCAAACTGGACCTGGAGATCTTGAATATATTCATCAGGCGATGAAGGAGCATCCAGAAGGCAACCAAACAAGAGATCACAAAGCAGACGAAGGTCACGACCGAAGAGCATCTAGGATGGAGGATAGCCGGTAGTTTGGTGTTTCTCTCAGACTCTAGTATGATCTCAGCAGCTTTCTGAGCAGGGTCTTTCAGACAAGATGTCGGCGTTTCCAGGTGAAGATCCTTTCTGAGGACGGATAGTCAAGTCCTTAGATGCTGAAAGGAATTTGTTAATTTTAAAGTCTAAGGAAAAATCGTATTTCCGTAAAAAGTCCAATACGAGAATGCATGGATCTATAAAATCCGCCACATATGCCCTGTGATGGTCAGGTTTAACTTCCCAGCTATGTTGATCTTGTCACCAGATGCAGTCTGAAGGGTAACACAGGATGGCATCCAAATATGTTTATCTTTAAACTGTTCAGCTAAATCTTTCCTAATGATGGTAACAGCTCCTGTGTCAATGATCATATTACAAGGAACTCCATCGGTATGCCCATTGATGGACAGTCCGTTACTGTTGCCACTCACCGTAGAAATCTTGAGTGCTTTAAAACAAGGATTTTCATTATCTGGCAACCTCCGTTCCTTGTTATGGTCATTAATTTGTTTCCTGCGTCATTGCTCAGAAATGGTCTCATTTTCATACCCTGGGGTGTTCTGCAATTCTTTTGTACGTGGCTTTCAGCTCCACAGTTCCAGCACTTTAGTTTCTTGTCAATCTTTTTCCGTCCCATGACATTTAATTGTCTGTTTAACCCGCCTCTCTTATTTTCCGTGCTCTGGGATGTTCTGCAGTTCCTTCGTATGTGGCCTTCAACACCGCAGTTCCAGCACTTTAGGGTTGGTTGCTTCTCACCAGTATTCCATCTCAAGGCATTCACTGGTCTTATCAAATCATCCGCTTTGTTATCCGTGCCCTGGGGTGTTCTGCAATGCCGTCGTATGTGCCCTTCAATACTACATTTCCAACACCTTAGAGCCACTTTGTTCTCACTCCTACTCCGTATCAAAGCATTGACTTCTCTGGCTAAATCATCTAAACGAGCCATCAACTGATCCACTGGCTCGTGGACTCGCACAGCTCTGACTGGGTAGCGATCTATACTAGTTGCTTGCTGGGCTGCCTCGAACTTCATGGCGTACAACAGAGCGCTTTTTATGTCCCTCACATCTGCCATTCGAAGAGCTTTCTGTATTCCAGGATCCCGGATGCCATCGATGAAGTACTGCGGGGACAGGATTTCTCTTGTTTCTGTCGGGCACTCCGAAAAGGCGAGATGGGATAGCCTTTCAACATCTGTGGCGAGCTCCTGGAGTGTTTCGGTAGGCTTCTGTTGACGAGATTTTAGTTGAAGTCTGCTGCAGTATTTTAAACACTTTTCTCCGAAGCACAGCTCCAATGCGCAAGATAGAGCTTCAAAGTCTAATCTCTGATTTTCGGGAAGAGTCTGCAGGATATCCGCTGCATCTGCTCTCAGAGAAGTGGCGAGATGACAGGCCTTAGCTTGGGAATCCCATCCATTCGCATCCGCAACTATAGAAAATTGGGTCTTATACACTTGCCGGGATGTCTTCCCATCATATGTGGATAGCTTCAGAGATGGATGAGCAGGCATCGGTAGAAATTTAAAACCATTCGGATTGCTCCCTGCCGTCGCTACGAATTTCTTTAAATCATCAACTACTTTGGTGACCGCAGAAACTCTTATCATTAATTTGTTGTTCCACAGCAGAAACTCTCTCTTCTATTTCTGCTTTTACCGAAGAAACTTTTTCTTCAATGTTTTCAACTTTATTTTCAACTGCGTCAATTCTGCCTTCCATAACCTCCAATTCGTTTTCTATTACGCTGGTAATTTCTCTTTTCATCTCTTCATGTCTTGCTTCAATCTTTTCCTGTCCTGCTTCAATCTTTTCCTGATTAGATTCCATCTCTTCTTTCATTTCTTCTTTAAACGAGGCAAAGGCTGATATCAACTGCCTTAATTGCTCTTCCATCGCTCTTGTTATTGGCATTCAAATCCCACTTCTGACACCAAAAATTGTTGCGTGCGTACGGGTTTGTTACGAAATAAATGCACAAGTCCGATGAAAAATGAACAAAAATTTATTATTATCACAACAAATATGCTTAAATTTCCTAAAATATTCGTGCAATATTACAATATCTCACAGCAGTTATCTTTTAACTACTCAAATGTTCAAGAGAGCTTAATTCAAAACAGCTAAAGAAAGCTAATCCGCGAATTCGCTACAGTCAACAAAAGCAGTTTTCTAAACAAACTCTTAAAACAACAACAAACTAAGTAACTACCACAAACTGAGAGGTGTTCCTCCTTTTATAAGATTTTAAAATCGTGCGCAAGAATTTTCTAGTACTTTCTCGAAATTAAAAAGAGATATTTATTAAATGTTACATGCACGCGCTCTTGTATTTTCAATTTTCCGGCTTAGCTTTCTTTTAATATTCGTCACGCGCTGCACTGTGCAGAAAATAAAACCATTTAACTTACAATTCAACTAACATAAGTTATTTAAATACCAAATCCGTAGCGATATCTTATTTCAGTGGCACATAATCATTTTGTTGCATACATTCATGAAGGGATCCCAAAATGGTCTATTAATAAGCTACTTGTTTTAATGCATCTTATAAATACACTCTCTTACAAAAAAAAATAAATGCACCCATTAGAAATTGAGCCACAATCATGAAACTCAGCTGGTAAAAGACATTCGTAAGCATGCTATGCGCATACGAGATGAGCAGCTGGGATAGTTTAAGGCATGATTGCTCATGCCGTAGAGTTATTCAAACAAATCTGTCAAGTTGGAAGTTCAGTACTGTGACTAGAGATGCCTCTGAGATGTAACCAGAGGCAGTACAAACAGTTGTCGAACTTTACGAAGAGGCGTATAGTAGGCATCAGAGAAGCAGGTTGGTCAAACAGGCGTATCAGCCACCACCTCTGGCGGAGCGATATGGTAGTTGCTCAGTATTGGTGACTATGGATCATGGAAGAGATAGTCTACTGTCATGGTGGATCAGGATGTCTCAGGAACACAAATAAGCGCAAAAATCACATAATCATAAGAATGGCCATTTCCGCA